CCCTACAGACCGAAAATCCCCTTCCCGAGCCGACTGTTAGAGGAGAAGGACCGCACCATGATTCGGGACCTTCATGCGATGTTGGCTAAGGCCAATGTAGACTTATCTCCTCCCGACGTGATGAAGAAGATACCGGCTTACGCGAGATTTTTCAAGGAAGTGGCAGCAAATAAGCAGAAACTCGGAAACGGTGAAGAAGTGCTCGTGTGTGAAGCTGCAAGTGTCTTCCAACAGAACTTGCCGAAAAAAGAGAAGGATCCCGGAGGTTTCGTGATTTCTATGGCCTTTGGGAATGGGGAAGAGACATCAGGGATGCTTGACCTAGAAATTAATTGAACAAATCCATAAGCAATAAGACATTGCGTGAGCTTAGAGAACCATTGTCTAGAAGCTTGCTTAAGACCATAGAGGCTTTTAACCAATTTATACACTCTGTTGTCATTTTTATCACAGTAACCTGGTGGGGGTTTCATATAAACTTCTTCTTCTAACTCAACATATAAAAAGGCATTGTTAACATCAAGTTGATGAATATGCCATTTTTTAATAGAAGCTATAACAACCAGTAGTCTTACTGTGGTAATTTTGGCAACAGGTGAAAAACTTTCAAATAGTCTATTCCTTCTTACTGGGTATAACCTTTAGCAACTAGCCATGCTTTATATCTTTCCACAGTACCATCAGATTTGTATTTTATTTTGAAAACCCATTTGCAACCTATACAATGTTTATCTGATGGTAAAGTAGTCATTTCCCAAGTTTTTGTATTTTCTAAGGCCTCTATTTCTTTTCTCATAGCAATATGCCTGTTGACGGATGTTTCCGGTCAACGGTTAAAGAAACGAGATAAGAAATATGAAACAGGAAAAGGGGAAGAAAATACAATTTAATTATGATCTTATTAATCGATCACGAGGTCGGCCTCTCGTACGAGGTCGGCACTTGCGATATCCTTACAAATACTTAGAGGTTTATCACTAAGTATAGAGAGAGAAAGTAGAAAGAGAGGGAGATAGTTGGGAATTCAATAACCCAGAAATAAATGAGGTGGGCTGCTATTTATAGTGGCTTTAAATGTGGCACTGTTCAAACACTGTTCACCGGTCTTGTCGTACAGCACTCTGGCAGAGCAGTTCGGCGTCTCCCTTTTAGATATTAAATGCGATTTGAGGTTTTTCCCATCATTGCTTGTCAGGCATTTAATGCACACATGGGGGTCATTTAATGCTGGCAGGCTTTATGTCTTGGCTAGTGGATGCAGACCTGCAGGCTACGGCGCCCCGTCCAATCACCAATGATTGCTCTCCAAGTGGAATTATTATATTATTATCGGGCTCGGCATCTGTCTCTGGGGCAACCGCCCCAGAACCTCAGGTCGGCTCCCGATCCCGTTTCGTTCTTCTGGCCCTCCGGGACCTTACTTCAGCCCGTCACCTGCTTTAGGTCGGCACCGGTGTCTGAGCAGCACAAACGTCGGGCTCGTGGACGGGCCCGCGGGGATGTCTGGGCTAATTAGATCTGGAATTAAGCTCGACACTTGCACTCGACCGGGTATTCGGTTCGGCTCTGGGAGTCGATTAGGCTTTGGGGAGGTACCTATTGTCCGGCTCTTCTTCGGGGCGAACTTGGATGTCAATAATGCCATTGAGGGTCTTTGGCAGCTTCTTTATAGCTTTTTGGTTCAGTAAGCAAAGAAATAGATGCAGTGAAATATGAATGCAATGTAGATAATGAATCAGTGGACAAATATTTTGAAATAGGATATAATGATGTTCCAGAAGTGCATTGAGAGGAAATAGCCGAGTTTGATTCAAGGGAGATATAGAGTGTTTATATATGGCAAGATATGCATGAGGTTTGATTGATCTGGTTGATCTTCTGAGGGAGGGTATGGAAATATCGTGTCAGTGAAGGAATATTTTGGTTCAGTGTATTTAAATGGGAAAACACTCTCATAAAATTGCACATTTCTGGATATTAATATTTTCTTGGTATCAAGGTTGTAAAGTTTATAACCTTTACAACCTATGAGATACCCAAGAATTATGCATTTGGATGCTCTGGAATCAAATTTATGCCTATTTGCAGATAATGTGGATGCATAACAAAGACTTCCTATGACTCTGAGGTGATCATAGGTAGATGGTTTGTTATTTAAAACCTCAAAAGGAGATTTATTTTGAAGAACAATTGAAGGCACTCTATTTATGATATGAGCAGCAGCTGAAATGCAATCAATCCAGAAAATTAATGGTAAATGTGCATGAAACATAATAGCTCTTGCCACTTGTAATAAATGTTGATGCTTTCTTTTTACTCTCCCATTCTGTTGGGGTGTTTCAACACAACTAGTTTGATGAATAATGCCATTAGACTGATAAAAATCATGTAAGAAGAACTCTGTTCCATTATAAGTTCTAATGATCTTGATTTGTTTTTTAAACTGATTTTGAACCAGATTGTAAAACTGAAGTAAACTGGTCCTAGTGTCTGACTTAGCTTTAAGAGGATATATCCATGTTGTTCTACTGAAGTCAGCCACTATAGTTAGAAAAATCTATAACCTTCATGAGAAATTACAGAGAATGGTCCCCAAATATCACAATGGACAAGTTCAAAAATACATGAAGATTTCGATTCACTAACGGTAAATGGTAATCTTTTCTGTCTGGAAAAGTGGCATACATCACAAGGCAAAGACTTCATAGAAGCACAAGAAGAATCAGCAATAGGTAAATGCATCGGCTTAGTATATGACAAGTGACACAATCTATGGTGCCACAAAGTATTGTTCATAGAACCATGGTTTACAGGTAATTGAAAGTTTACAGGTAAATTGCAAGAAGTAGCAGCATTAGCAGATGAGCATGAGTTAGCAGAAGAATCAGGCAAAGATAGATGGTAGAGGCCATCTTTTAAGTCTGCAGAACCAATCAGATTGAGTGTTGTCAGATCCTGTAAAATGCAATGTGATGACATGAACTGAAGCATACAGTTTGATGTGGATACCAGTTTAGAGACAAATATCAAATTGAATGTGAAATTTGGAACAAGCAAAGCATCATGCAGGATGAAATTATCAGATAGTCTGATTTGGCCTATTGCACATGCTTCAGTAACATTTCCATTTGGCAAATTAATTTTGACATTGTCAATAGGTTTAAGATTGACAAATAAACTAGGATCACAAATCATATGATCTGCAGCACTTGTATCTATAATCCAGGTATTTTTAGAAAAATTTCTGGAAACAATACAAGAGAATGAAACAGAAGTACCTGAAGCATTGTGAACAGCAGTTGCTACCATTGGGCTTGGTTCTGTGACAGTTTTGCCCTCCTGATTCTTTTTAAAAGCTAGAAACTCAAGAAATAGCTCATTAGTCATGGAAGATACATAATGATTTGGAGTGGTGGAGTCAGGAACAGTGGTTGAATGAGTAAGGTTGGCTGAGTGTTTGGGGTGAATTCTGGGGCCCTTTGTACCAGTCCAGTTAGCAGGATAACCATATACTTGGTAACATTTGTCAGAGGGGTGTGGATAACCACAATGGGTACATTTTGGTCTTGGTTTCTTGTCTTTGGGATTTGGTTGTTTTTGGGAATAGAACTGAGGGTTGTGAGTCTTAGCCAGCATGGCCATGGGTTCAGAAACAAGGGTATTGTTGTTCAAGGTTCTTTGGGACTCTTCTTGAAGTAACTGGGAATATACTTTTGTGAGGCTGGGCAAAGGTGAGGTTAATAAGAAGTGACTGCAGAGTGATGCATAAGAATCATGTAGACCAATCAAAAATTTCATCACACAGTCATGCTGTTGAGATTCAGCCATTTTCTCAAAAAATGTTGCAAGTACAGTTAGTGAAAGTGCCACAATAGCATCGAACAATAAGTCTATATGTCACATACTCATCCCAAAGACCCTTAAAAGCATTGTAATACTGAGTAATAGTGAGAGAACCCTAATTCATTGTACTAAGAGATTTTTCCAACTGAAACACACGCGGTCCACTACTAACAGCATACCGATTTTTCAATTCATCCCAAACATCCTTTGCAGAGTTTTTTCCAGAGTTAAAAAACAACAATGATTCATTGTACTAAGAGATTTTTCCAACTGAAACATACGCGGTCCACTACTAACAGCATACCGATTTTTCAATTCATCCCAAACATCCTTTGCAGAGTTAAAAAACAACAATGATTGGCGAATATCTTTAGAAATTGAGTTCAGCAGCCAAGACAAAACCAAGTTATTAGCCCTAACCCAGGACATATACAAATTAGCATCAATAGTAGGGGAAGTCGATAGCAAAGTACCGTCGATGAAACCACCTTTGTTCTTCACACTGAGGGCCATGACGACAGCACGGGACCAACTAACGTAGTTATCACCGTTGAGGAGTTCGACGACAATGAGCTCCCGGATTGTCGCTGTCATGTAGGTAGACGCGCTGGATGAATCGTCATTAGGGTTTTGATTGGTAGCCATACTGATTCAGATGAAAATCGTGTGGATCTAAGAGATGTAGATTGAGAATCGAAAGATCTCAGAGATGGAGATATGGAAAAATATCGAACGAAAAAAGACGAAAGATATCGAACAAATCGAGAAAATCTCAAAGGCGGAGATTCCGATCGATGATCTATGTGCGGTAGCGAGAAAACAATGGATCGAACATGACTGATACCATATTAGATTGATAATCGAACAAAGTCTGTAAATAAAGGATCAACAGATTGAGAGAGACGAGAGAGAATGAGAAGAACTGCGGTGAAAGAAAAATAAAAAGAGAAAAAGTGAGTTACAATGTGTGGTTTCTCCCTTTTATATCTAGGGTTTTCACAATGGTAAATATTACAATGCCTATAGTTGCTTGATGCAACTTTAACACAAGTTCTAATATTACAAATGCCTGTAGTTGTATTACACAACTTTAACACACAATCTAAAAATAAAACAATAACTATAAATCAATGTTATTACATTTTTTTCTTCAGAGGGCCCTTTCTGGCTACTGTGTACCTTTTATTACTGCAGTAACTTACCTGGTATTTTGCATTTGAAATGCACTTGTAGATTTTGGGTTGAGCCGTTGATTATATTGTGGTTTATCCTGTTGGTTAGATTTAATTTCCTGATGTTTTGTTGATGGAGATTGAGTCTCATGAAGATGTCAGATTGTCATTTCCCAGCAATTAATAGTCTTCTGTGCTTTTGACTGCTTCAAATTTGCACTTGAAACTTGAAATTCTGAACTTGTCAAGAAAGTAGGAGCTTAGTAGCGATGCAAGAGGACGTTAAGTTAGTGAAGATGCTTTCTGTATTCTATTTCAAGTTTCAGGATTACCGAATAAATAGGCAAAGCGTCAGATGTGGTCGAGTAGTGATTGGATTTGTTCCACGCTATCTTAAATATCAATTTTATACAAGAAGGCAAAGGATGTAATTGAGCTTAATCCTCCGTTTTTGAATTGGGCCACTTGCTAGGGTTCAATTTTATTTTAAAAGATGCAAAGTCTTATCCTCACCCACCTCTATCATACTTTAAAGCGAGTCGATTTCATCGATCCCTATACCTTTGGCTGCAGCCCGCCGTTTCCTATCCGAAAGAAATTGAAAACGAAAGAAGAACGTAGCCGGGATGCCTTCAACGATTACAGTTTGTTTGCAGATTTGCCACTCTTTTTTCAAATGTTTTGCTAGCCTAGTGAAAGGCCTGAGTAATAAATTCGACTCATTGACATGGTTCTCCCTTGATTTAAACAAATTTTGAAAAAACCATGCCTGAAGTGGAAGCTGAAAAAATTCGTCTCAAGATCCCCAAGAGCAAGTCCAGGCCTGGAGAAAGCTGCAATCAATAGGATTTTCTTAAAGGAGATCGTCTATAATTTCACATGTGACGGTTGATTTCTTGGTTATGTCCAGATCCTGAACTAGTGAATCGAAAGTTTGAGCTCTCGCTCGAATCTTCACCTTTAAGCGTTTGTAGGCTTTCGACTCAACCTAATAGCCGGGCGCCAATAAAAGAGAGAGTATGAGCTCATCATCTGATGCAGATGCGGCTAGTCTGAGCACCTGAACACTTTAGCTCTCATTCGTTAGAACAAGTCCTGATGATATAGTTGTTAAATGAATGTTGGACTTGATTTTATGGATGTTCTCCCTATTGGTTTAGTAAATGTGACCTAATAGTGGGAAAATTTTGTTACCTTTCCTTTAACAGACAATGGCAGCTTCAGGAGACTCATGGGTGAGAGAATACAATGTTGCAATCAAACTTGCTGATGACGTAACCAACATGATCTCTGAAAGGAACTCATTGCCAGCTTCCGGGCCAGAAGCTCAGCGGCATGCATCCGCCATACGGAGGAAAATCACCATACTTGGAACCAGACTGGACAACCTACAGTCTCTTTTGTCAAAGCTTCCTGTCAAGCAATCTTTGTGAGTTACAGACTTCCAGTCCCTCTGTTGTAAAGATCTGTAAGCGTGTTATTAAATTGTAATGATAAAATAAGATGTGCATATTTCTTCCTATGTCCATTGTTGCCTGTACTTTGGTTACATATGCTTTAACCCTCTAACCTCTTCAATATCTGCCTCTATCTTAAAATAAGTTAATGTTGACGTGTTCTAAATAATTTTACCTAGAGCGACTTTTAAGTTTTCAGTTGTATACTTATTTTCAGTTCACCGATTTCTCGATCGCGCTAATATTATATTTTGTGGACATAGAAAAGCATTAACTGACTACTTTGCTCTGCCTACTCGAATTTCTTAAAATTTTTCTTGGAGTCGCATAATCAATGTCTTCTGTTAAGTAAATGTAACACCCTTTTAGTAATTTGTTTGGATTGGGTTAACCTTTATCTTTGCTCGTTGGGCTAGATTTCCTGGGCTCTCTTTTGGACCTGTTCATTTCCATTTGCAGGTCCGAGAAAGAAATGAATCGTCGTAGGGACATGGTTGCTTGTTTGAGATCAAAAGTAAACCAGATGGCTTCTACTTTGAACATGTCAAATTCTGCGAATAGAGACAGCTTATTTGGCCCTGAGATAAAGCCTGTTGATGCAATGAGCAGAATAAGTGGCCTTGATAATGATGGTGTTGTTGGTCTTCAACGACAAGTCATGAAAGGCTAGTTGCTAGGACACATTTCTTGACTTTTATTTGAGTTTGTTTTTCTTATTTATCCTTTTGAAAGTTGTTTCTTTTCTGTCTATATGTTATAATCCCTGCAGAACAAGATGAGGATCTTGAGAAATTGGAGGAGACAGTGATCAGCACCAAACACATTGCACTGGCGGTGAATGAAGAGCTCGATTTACATACAAGACTAATTGTTTATCCTTTTTAATCCTTTTATACATAGTATATACTCTGTTACCTAATAAAGTCAATAATGTACCATCAATTATTCGATGCTTCTATTATGGAAGTTTTTATCTGCTGATTTGCAGGATAATCTGGATGAACATGTTGATGTTACAGAATCCAGGTTACAGGTGACTGTTGCTTTTGCTCAAGTTCTCGAATCATGATAAACTGCACTAGAATGTGCTTTTTGGTATGATTTTTATGGTCATTGTAGGTTTTACTAATATTCTTTTCACGACGCTTGTGATTGCTGAACATGATAACATTTCAGCTTTGAGGTGAGGAAGCCTTATCTTGTTTCTAGAAGAAGGGATCTAATAGAAACTAAAGCAGTTGGAAGTCGTAAGTTAGATATGCGTGCAAATTGATGCTGAAAGTTGAAGGAAGTAACAATAAAAGTTCATTAATTTGTTTTTTAAAATCTGCTACCAGATAGAAATGAAGAGAGCATTGGTTGATGAGATGGGTATCCAGCAAGAGAAAGGGAATTTTTAGGACACATAAAAGTTCAATAATAAGAATCTGCTTGGCAGACTTCTGAACCTAGAATACTATTGTTTAATGTGTTCCTCTTCTAATATATCAAGAAGGATATCTTAAAACTATAGCCATATACTTCGCACCAGTGTAGAGGGCATTTGTCCCGATATTTGAATTTGATTTTTACCCTTTTCTGTTTTGTTTCTGATCAAGCAGCAAGTACAAAGGAGGCTTGTGAGATTAAACAAGAGGACTAAGGGTGGCTGCTCCTGCTTGAACCTCCTACTATCTGTCGTAGGGATTGTGGTTTTGATTGCAGTCATATACTTGTTGGTCAAATATTTGTAATTCTAGCTTTCTCACGTGCTTTGTGTTTGTAAAAAGAAGAGCGCGCCTAACAAAGATTGGTACCACTATGTATTTGCCTTCACAGACACGGTTAAGTTTCCAAAATGCTGGTCATGTGTATAATAACATGTTTGGTTTTGCATAAATTTATGCTGTTGTGAATCTTGTTTGAAAGCTTTCCTGCAATGAAAAGAAAACTTGTGTTTTGGTTGATATTGGTGTGAGCATACTTGGTTTGCGTAGTTTTGACCCTATCCGGGTTGGTCATTCATATTGTTTCACAGTCGGTCCATTCCAAACTATCCAGAGTGACTCAATCACAACTTGGTTGACTTTGACCCACTCAAGACTTGGTTGACCTAGGCATTGACCTTATTTTTTTAAGAATATATTTCTTAATTTTAAAAATAAAAATCCTATGTGATATGGTATATTGTACCATTCATTAGGTTGTGTGAGACTTAAGAGTAGCTCGAGCGGTTTGAGTGGATTAGCAACTCAATCAATCAAAGGTCAGCTGGACAACAAAAAGACTCAAGGTCGAGAGACTACTAGGTCGATGAGGACCTCCGAGGCAAACTACGTCAAGCTAGGACTCCAAGATTGTCTGATGGAAATTCGACCTAGAAGTGGGGAGGTCGATTGTAGACTTAAAAAGCAGACTTGTTCATTGAAGACCAGAACGACCCAATTTAAGAGGAATCGAGTTGATAGCACGATTATACTTAAAGCGACTACCAATGAGTAGGCTAATGTGAACACACTAAATAATGAATAAGTATGAATATAATTAGGATAGGAGAGACACATAGGTAAGGACAGGTATGTAACAAAATTGGGCAGTTCGGGCACCCGGGCAATGTGATCCAGTAGTTCGTGCACTTGGGCAGTCCGATCAGACAGATCTTGGGCAACAAGTTAACACCTCTATATAAAAGGGTGAGGCTTATCATCATCTCTTACACACTCTGAATATTCTAGATTCATTCATCTTCACCTCTGTTTACTGACTTGAGCATCAAAACTTTTATGACAGGGCAGTCCCTGACGCTGTTCTGCATGTCATTACATCGGTTCAAGGACATATCGAAAAACGTTGGATCGAGTCAAGGTCGTTTTACACTACCATTTGCCGTCGTCTGTGGAACTCATTCAAAAAGCTACCCGAGACATGCCATGGCGAGCGATGATCCCAGAAAAAACCTGGAACCCTGCTGCAACAAAGCTTGGGTTTCCAGTCTTCTGCTTTTCGAGGTCCATTCTGACGCCGAAAAGCCCATTCTGACGCCGATTACCCAGATTCCCAACCTACCGAGTCATGGAGGTTCTTCGGTGTCCGTAGTAGTCACCAGTGGCCTAATTCCCCAGCCTCAAGAAGAAGGAAGGAGGTCGCCGGCGACAACAAGAGGTGCTCCAACGGGCGAACAGGTTGTGACACTCACCAAGGATAAGCTCAGCTGGATGATCGCAGAAGCTATTGCAGCCAAGTTCGTTCAAACGCAGGTGCCGAGTGCAGAGAACTGCAGATATTTTTTGTATTCCATTCAAAATGTTGGTTAATTTTTTGGTTATTCAGTTAATCTAGTCACAAAATTAAAACAATTGACAAAACAATACCCACGCACAAAAAGGTGACATTTATCAAACATGAGACAAATTAATCTTAAACAGTAGAGAAAGATAAGCTAATCTTATCACCCAAATTGGTGACAAGTAAATAACTAAATATGAACTTCAGTTCATGATATCTCTCTCTATTTAATAAATAGAGAAATGAGATGGAAACAAAGGTTTTTAAAAGTAGTCATTAAATTGGCCCGAGAATTAAGAAAAAACCATATCCACACCACCATGGTTCAACCGTCCATAAAGTTCACAATTTACACACACTCCACACTTTCAACACCAAACCTCAGAGAACCAAATCACATAGAAAAATAAAAGTAAACCAACTTTTCATTTTCTTTATTTAATTAAGCTCAACGTGTAGCCGATGGCCTAGTCAACAACTCAAGTGACTTCTTAAGATGCTCGACCGCCACAGAAACATCGTCAAACGCCAATGCACCAACTGCAAACCTAGCTGCCTTGTGCGCCTCCGCAATTTGCTCAGGTGGAGGCTGATAATTAGAGTCATACTCATACTTTGGCATCGTAACTTGAGAAGCTTCTGGAACATTCCCGTTCCTATTGGCTGGGGCAAACTGAGCAGCCGAAGGATAACTAGCCGCGCCAGCTGGCGATGAATTGGAATAGGAAGCATCTGGGCCTTGGTAAAAAGAAGGGTGGTTAGATGGAGCTGCGGGAAGTGTACTCTCGGAAAAGCTGGGGTAGGATTGGAAATTTGGGTATGAGTATGGTGGGGCCATGTCTTGGGGTAAGTAATGTTGAGGAAGGTGGTGGGGTAGTTGTTCGGGCTTGTACGGCTGAGGGTGAATATTATCAGGAGGCTGAGGCTGAGGCTGGTGAAAATTTTCAGGTGGCTGTTGAAAATTGTGGGACGGGTAATCGTTGGTTGGATAGTGAGGCGGGGGTGGAGGGACTGTAAAGGGCGAACTAGTAATATTTGAGGGTTGTGAAATATTGTCGGTCGGATATTGGGAATTGAGCTTATCGTATGGCTGAGGTGACGAATCTGAATCTGGATGGATTGGTGTGGAGGGATCAGTCCTGCTCGAGTCGAATCTGGTGGTGGAATCACTTCTGCTCGGTTCAAGATCCTACAAAAATGCAAAGATAACTTATTATGTTTGTCTTTCATTCAAAATAATAATTTCCAGACAATGTGATGATAATGTGTCATGAGAAGCAGAAACTTGGGATAGTCTACTGGTGCCCAAATTGCAAATTTTAAGATTGTACTCTTTTTTTTTTTCTTTTTTTTTTTCAAAATTTGAAATCTTTCAGTTTTCTTGGAGCAGAGAAATCTGAAGGAGTAAATATCATACGTATCCACCACTTAGTGTACTTGATGGTACAGATAGATCTTCATCACCACCAGGCGGACCTGGCACAGGTTTCCTTCCTTCTTTCAGAGCTTTCCGAATATCTGCCGCTTTCCATGCTGCATACTTTTGTTTCTGTTCAAGCTGTAAGTAAGGGAATTGGCGATATAACGTCATGATAATTATCTGTTACATGTAACTGAGCGAAGTTGCCCAAATAACCATATAATGACCATTGCGTATTTAAACAACCATGCAGAAACTTACATCAGGCTGAATCTCTCCAAACTGATTCAGGATTTCAAAGAAAATGCTTGCGGCATAAAATGTTTTTGCAGTGTTCCTGTAGCAATCAGAAGAAATTCCACTGGGATGAGATATTACCATTTACATTTTTATCTCTCATGAATGCATGCACGGATTCCACTTTGAAGTTCATCAAGTTAAATTCTGAAAGAAGAGAAAGATCAAGAACGAACATTCAAGTGTCACGACTAACAATTTTCCTACACAGAGTTTGAAATTCTCGGCTTTAGCATTATACCGAGAACTAGACAAAAGATTTCCTTCAACACTTCAAGGTATTATATAAAGAACTAGCTACTAGATAGTTTCTGAACGGAAAATAACTGGTCCTAAATTATATAGAGGAAAAGACTTGCTGGACTGATTCAACGGAAATCTTACTCACAGTTATAAAATCATCACTGTTCTAACTTTCTAAGCTTTAAGTGGACTTTTATCTTATATGACATGCCGGCAATTCAATACGAAGTTAGACTAATTAGAATTTGTTACTGTTTACACTTTCAAAGAAAGTGACCATAAGTCTATAACCCCACAAGCCACAATGTACATTACCACAATATTGATCACAAATACAGAGAAAGCATGAGAAACACATCACCATTTTTTCTATGATAAAATTAAGGTAGCAAACATCTACCTTGCTAATATGAATCGCCAAACACAAGATCCCTGATCCATCTAGTATTTTATATCATATCGTAATTGTCATAACTCATAAGTTGGCCTAAACTAATAGAACACCACAAACACTAAAGGCACAGAATGCCATAATACATAAATGTGGTACAAACTGCATAATAAAACAATCTAAAAGTGGCTGCATTAAAATATAAGACTAGTTGAATGAAAGCAAGGGAAAGAAGCATACAAATCAGCCCGCCCAGCTCTATCTTGTTTGTCTGCCTTTGAAAAGACATTTGAGGCAAATCCCTCCACATGTAGATAATCATCAGGGCTCAAAGTCAATGACTTCCTATCCTACAAGATAGTGCACAAAAGCTAAGGCACTAAACAGCATATTCATATCGATATCATTCTACCCATGATCTACAAGCTCAAACACTATGAATAACTAAATACAGTTATTAACATGATGATTCAAGAAAAAGGCATACTTAGTACTTCACAAAACCAAACTGCGTGATATTATTCAGCTGAACAACTTAAGTGGTCAAAAAGAACAAGTCTCCGAAAGAACTGTTCTCCTCCAGTATAATCCAAACATGGGCGGTGCAAATAGAGGAGCATTGGCTTCCATAAGTACAAACCAAAGGCAAACTGAGGAAAATTTTCTTAGACAGCAAGTAGTTAAAAGAAGAGGGGAAAAGCATAAGCGGAGGAGAAAAAAGAGGTCATAAATGAACAAAAACCTTCTCAAGCTGATTAATGAGCGAAACAAGGAGAGCGTTGGTGGTCTTTGTACGCTCCTTCTGAGGAATCCTCAATCCACGTTCCATCGCGTACAATCGACCTGTTCAATAATTTGCATCCATAAAGGAAAGGTGAAAAATCAACGATTAAAGTAGGACGCAGCAGATTTTGTACAGGTTGTTAAAAAACCAGCGATATCGAAATTAGGGAGACGGAAAGAGAAACAAGAGAAAAGACACGCTAGCGCACGCACACACGCACAGAGAGAGAGGGTAACTGAGACTCACAATAATAGGCGACGAGGGGCTCGTGTTTCTGCAACTCATCGGCTCTCTGAAGGTAAGGAAGTAGCAACTTCGCCGGTTCATTCTCGCTCGCCATCGCCGTAGAAACTCGATCGGAAATATATGGAGATGGAAATTGACTTCACGGGAGAGAGAAAAAACTGAAATAGAATAAAGCGATTCCACATATATATATATATAATTATATGGATGCCTATAGGACTGTAGGTTGTTTGTTGAAATAAAAACTAGTTTGATAGCTATTTTTCATTGTGTATGAAGGTATTTTTAATAGGCCTAATTGCAAGTAAAACTATGACCTTTAAGCATTTTGCAATTTAAACTCAACTTTAAGGTAATTGTAAACAAATTGCACCGTTTTTAAAAAAATTGCAATCCGAATCCAAAGTTGATCGGCAACGAGCTCCGTGCCTGTATATTCTGGCAGACAATCTCACGCGTCTTCACGCTTAGCTGATTAGGATGCCACATTGTCACACACAAATATACATGCATTTAAGTGAGTCGAAATCATTTCTTCCCCAAATAGAAACCCTAATCACCCCAATTGTCGAGCTTCTCGCCCTAATTGCCGAGCTTCTCGCCCCAAATTACAAACCTAATTGAGTTGCTCGTCCCTATACCTCTGAAAATGTCGTTCTCTTTCTATAGAAGCCAAAGTTCTCAGAGCAGTGGCGGTTTGAAGGTTCACGGCCGAAAGGAATGCCGCCATGGTAAGGAGACAGACATTCTGACATCGATGACTATCTATAATCCATGTAGAAGGTTCTACAGGTATCGACTTAGAAAGGTAAATACTCAAATTTTCTTGTAGCAGCTAAATGATTGCGTTTTTTTGATTGGGTTGATCCGGCATTGTCCGAATTCCAGAAGTCGTGTTTTTTATGAATGAAGGCAGACAAAGAGGATTTAGAGGAACAACTAAGGTGCAAGTTGGCCGTGGAAAAAATGCATACACGAGTGGTGAAAAAAGAAAACTTTGACATGGGGAGGAGCTTCAGAGCAGGGTGAATGAGCTTGGAGTTGTAGCTTACAAAAATGTTGAACTCATGTTGACCCTTAAGAACACAGTAGATATTCATGTGCAAAACTTAGAAAAGAAGATGAATGTTCTATTTTTTGCTTGGTTGTAGCTGCTCTTTTTGTTGTTATGGGTTGGTTTGGTCAAGATGGAAAGGGACAGAAAATGAGGATATTGAATTGAAATCATTTGAAGAAATATTGGAATGAACGTATATAATTTTGTTTTGGCAGTAGGTTTTGAACAATTTTTGCTTGAACTAATGAATTCTGTGTAATGTAAATAGTAGGTTTTAAACAATTTTTGCTTGAACTAATGAATTATTTGTAATGTAACAATATTGTTGTTAATTATGAGATTGAAAAGGTTATCTCATGTTTTTGTTATGCTTTTATAACCTTTAGATCCACCTAAATGAACAAACAAAATTGCAATAAAGTAGATACTCCAAAAGACCAATTATTGTTCATATCATGATATGATGTTCATTTCATCACCACATTGCAAGATGAATGATGTTTGACATCATTTAAAACAACAAGATCACCAAACAAAGTGTTCAATACCGTTCTTAACCTATCTTCATAACCAAAACCCTAAGACACACAAAAGCACCATAACACAATCCTGACACTAACATTAACATCCTTTAATCCAAATACATAGACAATCAAACAGACAAATACATAGAAAATCATCCTTTATCTGGTATAATACGCGGGTATTGTAACAATAAAATTTTATTTGGATATTTATGTGTGCATAGGATCAAGTAGTAGCAGCATAACAAACCTATAGTTTTTATGAACGGATCATTAATATACATACTTTCAAGTCACCACATCCATCTTGGGCTCTCTCAGCAAGCACCAAATCCAGCTTCAAGAAAATGCACCCGACCAGCAAAATATGCGTGAAAAGGAACTCTCTAAACTCAATTTAAACCACAAACATGGGATACCATAAAACAGTCTCTACATTAAACTCACACTCACTCACATTGGGAACATATCATCTTTCCTAGAAACAAACGTTTCCCTACAGAGTAAGTAAGACAAACAAAATGTGTCATGGCTAATACATTCGGACAAATTTAAGGAGTGGTCGAGAGGGTCTCCACTGCATCTTCTTTGGATATGGCCACGAAGTTGAGTGGGGCCACTGGCCTTGACTCTCTCTTCCCATCTCTATTCATGGATTTTGCACCATCTTGATGGGCATTCAGAGAGAGACGTCTGCTGGCAGCCCCATTGGCCCGCGGCCCAACTGCTTTCTTGGTGCTCGAGTTTCGTGGGCTTGGTGTGGAGCCCAACACTGAGTCATGTTCCTTGTTCAGCTGTTCGTGGAACTTCCTTTGTTCCTGTTAAGGACATGGATTAGTAACTTCTAGTTCTAGGCTAGGCAGAGAGAATATTGAGATTTATCCAAAATTCTTTAGCTCAATTTGTGAATTTAACAAAGCAAATTATGAAATATATTTCCTCATTCGATTAATAGAGATAAAAAACAACCAAAAAACATATAGAGTTAAGAGTACCAAACTACTGGAGCTCGAATCATTAACTCAACTGGAAAACTATCAAAATACTTTTCCTCCATTACGTTCTATCGGCCGTCATCTTCAAAATAAAATTTGTTTCCTTCTATCTATTACTCTTTGAAAGTCGAGAATAATTTATTGTATTTTGTTCAATTTAACCCTAATTTTAATGAACCTGTTAATAATAGGTACATCAATGATAGAAGTAAAATCGTAATTAGGTATAACGTATGCATAACTACATTAATAAAACTTAACTTTTCAGTCTTTGTGAAGAAGCTTAAAACAACAAATGCGAAATGGAGGGAATAAAACACAATTTTAAAGATAAATTGAAACTCAGGCTATCTTGGATGGTAACCTGATTTACACCATTTTTGACACGTGAGTGTGTGTATTTATACTTCAATAAAGGTCTTATCAAGAAGCAAAGTGAAGGCAAATTACAAGGAGATTGGACTAACCTTCAACCTCTTCTTCTCCTCTTCTCTGTCGTGTCTGAGCATTACATACTCATCTAGCATCGCCAGTAGGGGAACACCATCATACCTGAATGTGATCCCACGATCTTGCTCCCAAGCACGAGTTTTTGCAATTAAACCATCTACAAGAGCTACAAGACCCAAAAACAATTAAGAAATGAGTGGATAATGAGAATCTTTCTGAACATATGTCATAGCCATAATGTATCAAAATAGTACAACACATACCTGGAATTTTACTGACCAAAATTCGTGCCTTTTCAGCCCTCTTCAGATTCAAATGTGCACCTCTACTGGCATTATACCTGTTGTCATCCTATTTAAACAGATGAACCATTACTTATATTTAGTAAACTGACTACCAAATAAGGGTCTTCAGTAGCTCAAGAAACCTTTACTAGTAATTATTTGATTAAAAATACAGAATGAACGCCATCACTATCATCTTTGCATCACAAGATACATAGTGAAATATTAGCAAAAACTTCAACAAAATAAGTCACAGTTTCTCCATAAAGTGTATACCAACACTGTAAATAGTAACCTGAGTCCGAAAAGCTCCTTGCCCGTCTCTGATCATACTTAAGCCAGGTTTGTAAACGAGATGAAAATGAGCAAATTGAAAAGGTTATATTATTTAATTACACAAAAATATATAATTACCCTATTGTAGTCTTCAAGCCAACTTTCTTCTTCACAAGATGACATCCACTTCTCAACTTTATCCAATATGTCCTTCCTGCTAGCTGCCTCTTCTTTTGCTTTCATGATCTGATTTTCCATGTCAGCCAATAACTCTGTAGGCTCAATGCTGCCGGAGTCAATTAGAGATAAGATCTTTTCTCGGGCAACCTCAGTATCTATCTCTATGTGAGCATGTGCAAATATATCCTCAAGTTCAGCTTGCCTCTTAAAAGCGATTTCCTTCATTCGGCTAGCTTTTAGCTGATCAAGTCTCTCAACTTCCTCTTCAGCCTTTGATTTGAAAGGGGCAATTAGCAAATTGATTGACTCACTGGACAATTTAACTACCTCACTAAGTATTAAAGTTCTAAGCATATGAAGTCCATACTTGTTCTATGATGTCTAAAGCAAGAGCCCCAGGAACAGTAACTTTATCCACTGAAGCTGAAATATTACATGTTACATGATCAAAGAGGCTGCGCTCTTCTGCAGGTGTGTCCATCAAATTCCAAAGGTCAATAAGCTGAGTTGCCAATTCTTGAAGCTGTAGATGGAAATAGAAGTTGATAAGCAAACTTGACAAACACAAAATAAAGCAAGTTATGGAATATATCTTCATGAGAATGATAAAAAAAGGCACAATAGATATGCAATTGCCAAAGTATGTGTAATTAATGCAATAACTAAGTATGCAAGTGAATATAGATACAGTTAATCAATCGAGTTTAATTTCACAAATGTTGGTTTGTTGGCAAGTAATAAAGAAGTCTATCAAATATTCAAAGTTTAAAACACGGTCTCTTGTGAAAGAGTGAAAGGAGGGAGGAAAAAGTGTACGTTCTATGTGCATGGGGAACATCAATCCTAGTGCTGACTTAATTTCTGAATAGCTGGAAGAGTAGTAAGTAAATTCAACATATTAGATACCAGTTTTGACAAAAATAAAATAAAATCAGGGATCATATCATTACCTTCTGCAACCTCTTCTTTTTGTCTTCCTTTAGAGCTAAAACAGTCTTAGCCAATCTAGACAGTGTATCATCACTTATGCTCTTTGATTGCACACCCCGAGAGTCGTTTAGGCTAGGATGCACTTCTGTAACAGTAGTAAAGAAGTCTACGCCCAGAACAGCAGAAAGATCATGTACAGTGCTCACGAAATCAAGAACCTTGTGCAACCTGTCACTCTGCAAAGTCGATAGTAAAAGGTTTGTCATTTTTCACTTCTAAGATTATAATAAAAATGCAGAACACTGCCAATAGCTGATCTACGGAAGTTGAACGAAGCTGCAATTGCTTTTCGATAATTTTTCCATTTTTCTTTCACTGTGCATTTGCCACAACTCACAAGAATTAATTGATAAATATTTTTCAGAAAATAATCTATTCACTTACGTTTACTTTATTGATACTGTCAATGATCAATCACATTAAATCAATTCAAGAAACCCGAAAGAAAAAAAAAATATGATATCAGTTGATATCATTACATTACCATCTTACAAGGTACAATTTTAGCTTGCTTTCACCTTTCCAAACAATGTCTTCTCATTTTAATGTATCAAATACTTTTGTAAACTATCAGCAACATTTCAATTCCACATCCAAAATACTTTTTTATTACTATTCTCCAGCAATAAAATAAAATTAAATAAAAATAAAAAAGTCAAGGATATAGAAGAGATTAAGAGGAGAAAAAGGAAAAGAAAAGAAAGGAAAATAAAGGATAAAAAATCACTCCTTATATATCCAACCTTTTCTTTTTGAAGGTCATGGAGCTGGGCTTGAAATTCGTTCAACTTTTTCGTGGATAGATCGGACTCATCAACTACTGGACTCTCTGCAGGCTCACAAGCTCCAGCAATTTCTGCACATATTGTCTGTATTTGAGATTGAACTTCTGAAAACTCTCTAATCCTGTCATCTTTCTGCTTCCACAGTTTTTCCAGTGCAGGGGCTATAGCCTCAAGCTGCTCCTTGATTGTCCCTGATGTTTTATCAGACTGCAATACAAACCACAAGGAACAAACATACATCTTGGTAATTGCTAACAACCTTAGGAGTGTTCAAATACATTGGCTTTCATATGTAGTTCTTTTATCATAGGAGAAAGAAAAATCACTAGAGATACAGAAAACCATATTTATTCACCAGTGTAATAATAACACTTGAGTATATCAATGGAGGGCATTCTTACCTAAGTTGTAAAAACACTACAAAGTCAAACCAGATCACCAGACAAGAATCAGAAAAAATGTTAAAGCAGCCCCTGTTATTTGGAATACGAACATCTGAAGACACTATAGCTACTTATCAACCAAAATCTGACAAACACTTCTTTTAGTAAACAAGAATAGTGAGCATCCATAGAATTGAAGAAAAATACTCACATTTCCAACGTAAGCCTTCTCTCCAAGGGCAGATAGGAGGTTAGTGAGTTCAACTCTAGCGTCTGCCAGTGTCTGAAGAAGTTGAGCCCTAGATTTCACAGCATGGTCAACTTTCCTCTTGTAGACATCCAGGCACTCTTGCTCCAACTGAAGGAGCATTTTGTCTCGTTCCTCATCAGTTTCACCAACTTCATCCCAGATTCGCTGCATTAAAACAAGGTATGCATCCTGTCAGCATAAAATATATAAAGCAGAGGTATACATTTTCTTTTTATTGTTCAAGAAGGGCGTGCCTGCAACTGCTCCAATAAAGATCCACAAGTGATTTGCCCATGATGATTTTCAGTTTCTACAGCTGCCATCGCTAACTGATGAAAACCTGAGAAAATTATCAAACTTATGTGTCATGCTTAAGCAGATTACAGGAACAGACTCGCTTCATAAAAGAAGTCATACTTTATAATCAGCAAAACTCACGGCAAGCAAAGTGTCACAATTTGGATCTTGCAACATAATTTCTCAAAAAGTAGCATTCAAAAGAATAAACTGCATCAACAAGTGAAATTGATATAACAAGCCAAACAATTTTCAGTACGTCATTGCCCAATCAGAAACAATATTTTGCCTTTAATTACCACCACAAACAGCACTCACCAAAATGGCGATGTTTCACAAAAATAAATGAAACAAAATCGAAAATACTTGTATGAATCCTTCTTCAACACAAATGCAGTTTTCCAACAAAATAAAAGGAAAAGAAAAAAAAAAGAAATAAGTCATTTTGAAGTAAAAGAACAATATCACCCACAAACCATCATAGCATCAAAGCAAAAAAAACAATCCAGCTAAAAAAAAGTGCTGAGCAACGTAAAAACAAAAAACACCAAAAAAAGAACTTAAGCGTCACACTCCTCAGAAGATAGCACTCAAACGAAAACCCACAAGCAAGTAAACACGCGCGCGCGTCCCAAAACCACCGGCGTAAACACCCACAGCTGACCATAGAATTCAAATCAAACACCAAAAAAAAATTAAATAAATAAAAAAATAAGAGCAAGCAACAACCACAGCAAGAGCTGCACACTAAGCAGCAACAGTCAAATTCAGAAACTCAGTGAAATGCTCACCGGATCGTGCCGTACGGGCCGGGTTTCAGTGGATTAGGCCTCAGATCTAAGTGTTTGATTTATCTATTTTTTCAGCTGCAGTTTGTGTGTTTTTGTGGGAGAGTAAGAGTGAGAGTGGAAAGTGTGAAGCAGATGTAGAAAAGATAATATATTGAGAGGCATGTCATGGGTCATGTGGGAGGGACGACACGACAACGTCACCAGTCAATAATCCAAATCCTATACTATTATTATTATTGACTTGCATTGTCTTGAAAAGCGACCCATCATTTTTAGAATGATTAGGTCCCGTCTCGGGGCTTATCGGCGACTACGGCACGAGCTGTACGTACATGTTGGAAAGACGTGTTTTTACTTTTTAATTATAACTCAAGTAAATTCTCTTATGATTGAATAAATTCGATTAATATACTTATAATAATTACATACATCG